GGGGGGGAGGGGGGGGAGGGGGGGAGGGGGGGAGGGGGGGGAGCCTAAAGCAGGAGGACAGCTCCGAATCACCAGACGAGGCGGGCGCCGGACGGGCGGCCCTCCAGAGACCGCCGCGAAGATGGGAGTGGCGAGGGCAAAGTAGGCCGCGTCGGACAGGTTCGGAGGGAGGGCGGCGACGGCGTCGAGGAGGCGCGGCAGCTGCGCCTGTTTTTTGTTGTTGCAAACTACTCACACCAACTAGTCGGGCGACGGCGTCGAGGAGGCGGCGCAGCTGTGCCGGCCAGGAGCGACCGATGGAGGTTGCGGGGTTGACGAGGGCGACTCCGGCGAGCCTACGTGCTGAATACGCCGACATGAGGGCGTGAAGACGGTGGTATGCGGCGTATGCCGAGCAACGCAGGCATACAACGGAGAGGAATGCAGCGGAGTCCGTGTCCTCTCGAGTGCTGGTTGGGAGACATGAGCACGTATTCCGCTTCTCGTAGACGGTGGATACAGCGGAATACGGCTGAGTACGTGTCCTCTCGAGTGCTGGTTGGGAGACATGAGCACGTATTCCGCTTCTAGGCTGGCGAGCGAGGAGGGCGGCTTGCCGTCGGCCCCCTGAGGGAGCGGGCAAGAGGGTGGGTTCGGGTACCGAGGGGTATGGGAGGGTGGGTTCGGGTACCCTAAGGGAGCGGTCAAGAGGGGTCAACCACACGCGCAGAGTCGCCCACGCTGTCCTCTCAATCAGGCGCCGTGCCCCGAGACGCTTGTCCTACCGCTCCCCCCTCTGTTCGCCGACGCCCATCGCCGTCTCACGCTCTCACTTCCACCGCCGTCTCATCGCCCTTTCTCACGTCCTCACCTCTACCGCCATCCATCGCCGTCTCACGCTCTCACCTCCACCGCCATCCATCGCCGTCGCACGTTCTCACCTCTAGCACAGGAGTACGATTGGACAGTCAGTCAGTGGCTAGTCGTTCGCACGTCCTAGCACGGACGAAGGCACACGCGCACGCGAGGACGCACACGGTGCCAGTGCAGGCGAGGCGGTGTGTGCGAGCTCTCAGGAGATACGCATCTATTGTAGATGCGCCTGAGCAACGCTGAGCGCGAGGACGCCGCCGAACGACTCACCGAGCAGGTAGATGGGCCGCCCCTCCTCCGCCTCGACCTCGCGGGTGACGGCCTCGCGTAGCGCCTCGAAGCTGGACCGGTCGTCCGGCGGTACGGCCAGCCAGCGGACGCAGAAGTCTTCTGCGAGCCCGGGAAGCTGCCGGTGGAGCGAGTAGCCCGACAGCTCGATGCCGGGAAGGTACAGGAGGAGAGGCTTGGTCGGGTCGTCCTCGGCGGTGTGCCGCACAAACTGCGGGTCGCCGGTGACCGCAAAGTCCGCCAGCCGCGGCTCGGAGGCCATCTCCCGCCGCATCTGCGCCGTCAGGATGCTATCGCTGGCGAGCTGCAGTACCGGCGCCACGATACGCTGAATCGGCAACGCTGCGATGTTTTGCACGCAGGGCGCTGCTGGGCGAGGGCCGAGCCGGCTAGGGGTGGCGAACGCGTGGAGCGCGGTAGTGAAGGCGAGCATTACACACACATATATATACACACACATGTGTATTGTTCTCGGACTTTGCGGCCGTACACATGAGTATTGCGACGTCGCTTGATTTCTTCCGGCCTGGTGTGCCGGTGATAGTACTAGCACGCGCCAGTTCGCACCTGTGTCGAGCCTGTGTGCTGTGTGAGAGAGTTGTCTTGTTTAAATTCTTCCGGCCTGATGTCGGTGGCAGGACGGTGGCACTCTTACCTCGAGAACCACGTCTCGCTCACGCTGAGAAAAAATCTGAAACGGCGTGCAGCAGAGTCACCGACGAGTCGGTCCGCGTGCCTCCTCGTGTCGCGCATCGTTCTCACCCATCCATAAACTCACTTTGGCCTCACTGAAGCGATGCCTCAATCCTGAATCCTCAGATTTTCGATTACGTTGCGGCGCGAACACGATGCTGGCTCTCTCGATCGCCAGCGCCGCCGCTGGAGCGCACCCCCACCGGGCGCCTCTGTTCAGCACCACGCCACTCTCACCGAGCTGCGTGGCGCTGGCTGCTGCCGCCGACCGGGGTCTGAAGAGCACGTGCTCTCTCTCAATGACATTCTAGCGATTGGTCGAGCGCTGGGCTGCGAGGGCATCCACAGATCCCAGCTACGCCTCCCGGATGGCAAGCACTTTTGCGACCTTTGACTTTGACGGCGGTGGCATGTACAGCGTGGCGAAGGCGCGCGCGCACGCAGCCGCGGTCGAGCCAGAGGTGGAGTCCGAGCTAGCGCGCTGCTGGCAGCGCCGGCGCGCCCAGTGCGGCGATTTTGGAAGGACGATCAGGGGGACAGGTGGGGCTCTCCTGCTCCTGAGAAGGGACCTACCTACGCAAATTTAGGGGCGAACTTTTTTCTCTTCCTGTCACTTCCCACGGCCTGTATAAGGGCGTAGACGCCCTTAGCCTGTACCCCCCTAGGTACCCCCCATCGCTCCGTCGTGGTAGCTCCGTCGTGGTCGACAGCTCCATCTTCGGGACTGCAGCACATGCAGCTCTCCATCTTTGTCGCCACCTGGGGCCGCACGGCGATGATCCGCTCCAGGGGCATCGCCAGCTTTCTCGACGAGCTATCCGCTCGCGGTTTTGCAGGGGTCGAGGCGACCGCAGAGGAGCTCGGAGCCTCTCTGAAGGAGCGGGTCGAGTACTGCCGCCTCCTCCAAGCGAGAGGGCTGAGGTTAATATACGCCGCCTACACGAGCTGGCTCGGCTACGAGGGCGCGCACCCGGGATTCACCACGCCGCCGGAGCACCTGGCGGCGCTGGATGCGGAGCTGGCCAAGGCGGCAGAGCTCGAGGCGGCGGCGCCTGGGACCCTCGCTCACATCAACATCCACGGCGGCTGCGACTCGTTTGACGAGGCGCAGGCGGACGAGTACTACAGCGGGGCCCTCCCACGGATCGACGCCTTCCTCGCGACACACGCCCACCTGTCGACCGGCGCCCGCAGCGGCGTCTCGCACGAGTCGCACCGAGGCCGGCCCCTCTTCCACCCGACGCCGACGCGCCGGCTGCTGGCCAAGCACGGGCGCGACCGGCTGAAGCTGACGCTGGATGTGTCCCACTGGCACGTCTCTAGCGAGCGGATCGTCGGGTTTGCGCCTACCACCAACAGGCCCGACCCGGAGGCTCTGCCAGTTGTGAGCGTGAGCAGCGTCTCTTCACACCTCTAGCTGTGAACAGGCCCGACCCGGAGGCTCTGCCAGCTGTGAGCGTGAGCAGCGTCTCTTCACACCTCTAGCTGTGAACAGGCCCGACCCGGAGGCTCTGCCAGCTGTGAGCGTGAGCAGCGTCTCTTCACACCTCTAGCCGTGAACAGGCCCGACCCCGAGGCGCTCGGCGCGGCGAACGTGGAGTGGGGCGCGGCCGAGGCCGCGCTGGCGGAGGCGGCGAGGAGGGAGGAGGAGGTTCCTCCCGGTGTGGCGGCAGAGAGGCGCTGGCTGCACGGGGAGGCGTACCTCGCCGTCGAGCACGTCCACGCACGCATCGGCAGCGGGCAAAGCGCGCAGACGCCCCCGGGCGAAGACGCGGACTGGAACGCGGTGCGGCGGACCGAGATGTAGCCGCGACGTAGCCACAAGAGCAGGCAGAACGGTCTGGGTCACGCAGGACAGCCGAGAAGTGCGTCCAGCCGGACTGTCTGCAGCGCGGTGCGCCCAGGCCGAGCAGTCTCTCTTCCCACGTCAGCGCCGTGAACAGGTGCGCGCGCACGTCGCGATGTGGAGGACGGTCTGGGGCAACCTCTCCGCCTCGGGGGCGAGAGAGGCGATCGTGACGCCCGAGTACGGGCCTGGCTACTTCACGGGCCAGAGCTGCGTCACCAAGGAGTGGTCCCCCGAGGCGCTGTGGGCGCAGACCCTCGCCGCTTCGGCGCACCTGCGAGAGGAGTTTGCGGCGTGGGAGGCTGGCCGCCCACCGACCGGCCAGGGGCCCTCGCCCGCCCTCGCGGACCTCCCCGCCCCTCCCCCTCCCCTCCCCGCACGCGTCTGCACCCTCCCCACCATCGACGTGTCGCGCTTCGTGGCTGGCGGCGCCGCCGAGCGGGCGAGCCTGGCCGAGGAGTGGAAGGTGTCCGTGACATGTCCGTGACATGTCCGTGACGTGTCCCGTAGGCGAGCCTGGCCGAGGAGTGGGACGCCGCCTTCTCGGGCGTCGGCTTCTGCCAGCTCGTCGGGTACGAGTCCCTCCTCCCCGCCTCCGCCATCGCCGCGCTGCGCGAGGCAGCGACCGTCTTCTTCGAGACCGAGTCGCGCGAGGTGAAGATGCGCTCGCACATCGACGGGCTCCTCGGCTATTTGGCCATCGGCGAGGAGAATGTCGCCGCCACCGTCGGCGCTGCCAACCGGGTGGCGGATAAGGTCGAGGGCCTCAACTTCTCGGGCTACGGAAGCGAGCTCAACGGCTCGCGAGGCTGGCGGTCGCGCGACCCGTGCGAGGTGCCTTGGCTCGAGGAGCCCTTCGCGCGCGCGCTGCCCGAACGGTTACGGCAAGCGGCGGCGGAGTACTGGAAGGCGGCGACGGCGCTGATGCACGTCCTGCTCGAGCTCTCCGCGCTCGCGCTCGGGCTCGAGGCGAGCCACTTTGGTCCCTACTATGCTGAGCCCGGCTGCACGCTTCGCCTCGCGTACTACCCTCCCGGCCCGGGCGAGGAGGGGCAGCTGCGGTATGGCGAGCACACCGACTACGAGGGCTTCACCATCCTGCAGCGGCCCGTGGAGGGGGGCGGCGAGGGCAACGGCGGGCTCGAGGTGCAGCACCCGTCCGCTAGGCTGCTGGCCAGGACGTGTCCACTGACATGTCCACCGACATGTCCGGGTCCGACAGGTGCAAGACCCGCGCACGGGCTCCTGGGCGGGGGTCCCCTCGCTGCCCGACACGCTGACCATCAACATCGGCGACCTGATGGCGCGCTGGACGAACGACCGCTGGCGAGCGACGAGGCACCGCGTGCCGGCGCCTACCGCGGGCAGCGCCGCCGCCGCGTGCGGCCGGTTGAGCTTGGTGTACTTCACCGGCCCCAACCCGAGTATGCCGGTGCATTGCCTGCCGTCAGCCAAGTGCGACTGCGAGAATCCGAAGTACCCGTCGATCACGCTCGAGGAGAATGTGCAGGCCAAGTTGCTCGCCGCACAGCGCGGCGCCGCCGACGGCGCGTGAGGGCTGGATGCGGGTGTGGCGGGTCGCGGGTGCACACTATGTACTATAAGTTGTGACGAGACGTATCTCGTTTTACCAGTAGCCACTAGCCAGGCGTCTGGTTATTGTGTACCAGCTTTGCGGTACGGGGCGTAAAGCCGCACGAATACACTGATTTCGAGCCGTATATTCTCACGGAAAAAACAGACGCGTCTGAGAGCGATGATCTTGTTCAATGCCACATTTTTTGCTATGTGCTTTTACTGCTAACGCTCTCGCCGCTCGGTCTCATCAGTCGGGCTTGGCATGCGGCCGGCGGAACTCCATCGCCGAGTCGACCAGCGCCCCATGGCGGATGGAGAGCAAGTCGGAGACATAGTACATGCGCGGACACCACGGCCACGCCTCGCCTCGCTTGGGCAGCTCGTCGATCGACCGCTGAATGTAGCCGGCCCCGAAGTCGAGCAAGTCGTGCCGCTCCATCGCCGGGTCGAGCGGTCGGCGCGCGGGACCTGACCGAGGGTTGGGCGGAGGCAACTTGGAGGCAGCTAGGGTGATAGAAGGTACAGAGGTCGGTGTCGTGCAGTCTCTTGCTCAACACATGCACATGCACATGTACATGTACATGTTGTTGTTGTTGAGCCGCTCGCGTCCATGAAGTTGAGGATGCGGCACACATACTCAGAGACGATGTTGTCCCTCACAGAGCGCGTGGCGTGAAGAGGAGCTCCAGCGGACTGGAGGCAGGGGCTACCTCGCATATAAGATGGAGCGCAACACAAAGGTCAACCAACTTGGACAGCTGGCGTTCGAGATCTTGCCGAGCATTCTGAACGACGGCTATGTTGATTCGCGCGACATTGAGGCGCTCCGCAATCAGAAGGGTGTCGCTGTCGGCGAGTGGAGCGTGGAGCCGCTCCAGCAGCTCCGCGACACGGGCGCGTGCTCCTACCTCATGGCGCTGCGGGCTCGGCGGCGGCAGTAGAGGGAGGGGCCGAGGGACCATACCCCCCCACCCCTGTCGATGCCTAGTCTTGGGCGGTCAGGGCCAATTAACCATACCACACCCCGCAAAAAGTTGGAACCCAGACTCGAGTCTTTCGCCGCTCCCGCCTCGGACCTGCCTCACCGCTGCGTTGCCGGCGTCGCGCGCCCTCCTGGCGGTCCGCATATATGCTCGAGCGCGTGCAGACGGCCGTGGTCGGCGGCGGCGTCGTGGGTCTCGCCGTCGCTCGTGCGCTGTCTCGCTCGGGCCGAGAGGTGCTCCTCCTGGAGTCAGAGAGCCTGACCGGCTCGGGCACGTCGTCTCGCAACTCGGAGGTCGTGCACGCCGGCATCTACTACACCGCAGGCTCGCTGAAGGCGCGTGCCTGCGTCGAGGGCCGGAGAGCGCTCTACTCCTTCTGCGAGGCGTACGCCGTGCCGTACTCGCGATGCGGCAAGCTGCTGGTTGCCACCGAGGAGGGAGAGCTCGCCCAGCTGGACGCGGTCGCGGAGAAGGCGCGCGCCAACGGGCTGAGCGGCAGCGGCGAGGCTCTCGTCCGCCTGACCTCCGCAGAGGCGGCGCGGCTGGAGCCAGAGGTGCGCTGTGTGGGCGCGCTGCACTCGCCCTCGACAGGCATCGTCGACAGCCACGCCTTGATGACGGCGCTGCTGGCGGATGCAGAGCGGCACGGGGCGACGCTAGCGCTCGGCAGCAGCGTGGTGGGGGGAGAGTGCGGTGGCAGCGATGCCGTGGCGGGCTGCGGCGCCGGGGGGCGCGTGCTGCTTCGTACAGCCGACGGCACCCAGCTCGCATGTGACGAGGTCGTCAACTGTGCGGGACACGGCGCGCCGCGACTCGCCGCCGCCTTGGGGGGGATGCCGCGCTCGCACGTGCCGGCGGCTCACTTCGCCAAGGGAACCTACTTCGCCCTGAGTGGACGGCCGAGCCCCTTCCGCGGCCTCGTCTACCCGCTGCCGCAGCAGGCGGGGCTCGGCGTGCACGCCACCGTCGACCTCGCGGGCCGCTGCCGCTTTGGGCCGGACGTCGAGTGGACGAGCAACGCGGAGGACGTGCAGGTGGACCCGACCCGCGCGGCGGCATTCTACGCCGAGGTGCGAAAGTACTGGCCGGATCTGCCCGACGGCGGCCTGGTGCCAGACTACGCGGGCGTGCGACCAAAGGCGAGAGCTGAAAGCCTGGCTGGCTGTCTGGACTGCTGCGAAGAGGCTGCCTGTTTCACAGCCTCTCGGTGTGAACACAGGTGAGCGGCCGCGGCGAGCCGTCGGCGGATTTTGTGCTGAGCGGGCCGTCGGAGCACGGCGTGGCGGGCTTGGTCCACCTCTTTGGGATCGAGTCGCCGGGCCTGACCGCCTCGCTTGCCCTCGCGCGCTTGTGCGTCGAGAGCCTCGACCGAGAGAGTGTGAGATAGAGCCGTAAAAGAAGCTCCTTTTCAGGCTTTGTTTCATGTCGGACAGGCTAGACCTACGGGGTGTGTAGGGTGAGTTGACCAGGGGTTGTGCGCCGGGCCCTCCTGCTCGGCTCCAGCGAGTAGACAAGTGTTACCATCAACAGAGGAGAAGGATATGACCTCAGGGCTGATGTGACCAAGCGCTGGTAGCGTGGTTTAACCTCACACCCATGGTCTCACAGTGTGCCGGCAGTCGCCGAGCAGTGTCGCTCACACAAGCCGCAGCACAAGTGACTGAGGGCCAGTGAGGGCGAGCCCATCGCTGTCACAGCTGTGGCAGCCGCACAGTAGGCTGTGTCAACTGTGCAGAGTGTGTGAGCAGCAGAGGAGCTGCTCTCCAGGCTTCTGTCGCAAAGAGCTGCATGCCACCGAAAGCATTGTCGAGGTTCGCCGAGCGCGGCGCAGGTTGGAGGACACCGTCACCGACGAGCGCGTTGGACTTTTCACTCCGGACAAAGACGGGGACACAGCGGACGGTGCGGGGTGTGTCCCCGTCATAGCGGCGAGGCGCGGGACCGTCTGTGGCGAAGTGGGTCGCGTCCTCCGATATTGTTCAACCCAGCATCCACACCCTTTAAAAAGTAACGTACGTAGAGCTAGAGGGACTTTATTTCCCCGGAAAGAAAAAGAAAACGGAGGCGGACATCCCATTTCCAAACATGAAACAAGGGCTGGGAGGACGAGGAGGACAGACGTCTTTATTGCCACGCGCCAAACAATCCCGCTCTCATCTCGCGCATCTGCGCACCAATCAGCATCAGCAGCAAGTCCATATCGCCACACGCGACTTCGGGTCGGCCTCAAAGGGGTCGGTGCCCACGTGCAGCAGGAGGGGTGCGAGAAGCGGGAGCGGCATTCGTTTTGTTGCCAGCCGCGTCCTCATACCCCCAAGCGCTCCGGCGCCCACGCCTCGACCCTCTTGGGCAGCAGCTGGTTCGACAGGTCCTCTCCGTGGCCTAGGCAGCCGTGGCCGCCATGACCCCAGGTGAAGACGGCGCCGTCGGCGGTGCAAGCGATGCAGTGGAATGCTCCAGCCGACACAGCGACGACGCGCTGGCCAGCAAAGGCCTCGACCTTCTTGGGCTGCCACTGATGCGCCGGGTCGCCGTGGCCCAGCCGGCCCCAGTCTCCATCGCCCCAGCTCCAGACGGCGCCGTCGGCGGTGAGGGCGATGCTGTGGCTGCCTCCAGCCGACACAGCGACGACGCGCCGCCCGACCAAGGCCTCGATCTTCTTCGGCAGCGGCTGGTCCTGCCGGTCGCCGTGGCCCAACTTGCCAGAGCCTCCACCACCCCAGCTCCAGACGGCGCCATCGGCAGTGAGCGCGAGGCTGTGGGTCTCTCCAGCCGACGCAACGATCACGCGCCGCCCAGCCAAGGCCTCGATCTTCTTCGGCAGCGGCTGACTCTGGTAGTCGCCGTGGCCCAACCGGCCAAAGCCTCCCTGGCCCCAGCTCCAAACGGCGCCATCGGCGGTGAGGGCGAGGCTGTGGCCGCTCGCACCCGACACAGCGACGACGCCGTGCTCTCCTCGAGCGCCGCCGCCAGCTCCGCCGCCTCCGCCACCGCCAGTGCTGACTCATCCTCAGTCAGGCCGACGGTGGCGGGCGGCGCAAGCGTTGCGCTCTGTTAGCATGCGTTCGCCTCTTCCCACTCACGAATCTGCCGGCGCAGCGTGTGGTTGGGGGCGAGGAAGCTGTGCACGAGCGCCTCGCCCGTCATCGGGCTCGTCGACTTGGTCGCGAGCCAGCGCTCCATCGCCGACCGCTCGTACGAATGCCCGTCCGCCGCCATCACCGGGTCACTCATGAGCTCGGTCGTGATCGGGCAGATGAAGTCGGCCGGCGGCTCCTCCTCCCTCGGAGCCGGCGCCTCTGCGGCCGATGACGGCCCTTGCGCCTCCGCCGCCCGCCTCTCCTCCTCCAGCCTCGCGCTCTCCTCGAGCGCCGCCGCCAGCTCCGCCTCCTCTGCCGCCATCAGCGCCTCGGCACGAGCGGCGGCATGTCGCATCGCCTCCGCCTCTGCAGCCGCTCTCTCCGCCTCCCTCGCCGCTGCCTCCGCCTCCGCCTCCGCATGCTCCTCGAGGGCGCGCACGCACTTGGCGAGGCCCTTCGCCTTGGCAAAACACAGCGCCGTGTCTCCAGCCGCCGTGCGCAGCGTCGCGTCGGCGCCCGCCCGCAGCAGGCGACACACGATGGCGGAGTGGTCGGATATGGAGGCAAACATCAGCGCGGTGCAGCCGCCGCTGTTCTGCAGGTTGATCTCCGCGCCGTGCCGAATCAGCAAGTCAACCACCCGCTCGTGACCGTTGATGGCGGCGTACATCAGTGCGGTGCCGCCGCCGCTGCTCTGCATGTTGATCTCCGCGCCGTGCCGAATCAGCAGCTCGACCACCCGCTCGTGACCGTTCTCGGCGGCGTTCATCAGTGCGGAGCCGCCTTTGCTGTCCTGCTGGTTGATATCCGCGCCGTGCCGGAGCAGCAACTCGACCACCCGCTCGTGACCGTTGCCGGCGGCGTAAATCAGCGCGGTGCCGCCGTCGCTGCTGTTCTGCAGATTGATCTCCGCGCCGCGCTGCAGCAGCAACTCGACCACCCGCTCGTGGTCGTTTCCGGCGGCGATGTGCAGCAACGTGAAGCCCGCACTATCTAACGCGTTCGCCTGCCCGCCGCTGTCAAGCCACGCCAGCAGCGCCGCCTCTTCGCCTCGCGCAGCCCTACCCCTCTGCGCCGCAGCGCGCGCCGCGCGCCGCGCGCGCCCGCCCGCCGCTCACGCTCTGCCTGCTCCGCCGCCCGCCCCGCCGCCGCCTCGGCAGCCGCTCGCCACTCTCGCGACCTCTCTGCCTCCTCCCTCGCACGCTGCTCCGCCTGCTCCGCCTTTGCCGCAAGCCTGGCTTTCCGATCCTCCGCCCTCCGCGCCGCCTCAAACGCCAAGTTCTCTTGCTTCTGCCGCTGCAGCTCCGCCTCGCGCTTGCTGATCACTTTGCTTGCCATCTTGGCGGCTGCCTCTCGCCGCTGCTGCTGCTTGACCTCGGGTCGGGGCCTGAGAGAGCACAGCCATGCCCACAATCCGACGAGAAGCCGCACGAGCAACTGCTGCAAACGCGAGAGCCCGATCGGCGGCTGCGAGTCGCCGACTGCCGGAAGCAACCGAGACCCGCCGTCGAGGACGGCCACGCCGCCGCCAACGCCGCCGCCGCCGCCCCCTCCTGCGCCGCCCTTCTTCTTGCCCTTCTTCTTCTTCCCCACACCGTCTCCGCCGCTGTTCGCCAACTTCGCCGCCGCCGCCGCCGACGACGACGCCTGCTCCTCGACGATCAGCTCCGCCTGTTGACACCCACGAGTGTGAAGAGAGGCCATTCACGGCAGCGGCATTCGCTCTCCAGCAGCCGGCTGCCTGCAGGCTCTCGGCAAGCTTGGCCGCCAGCTCTGCGTCCGCTTTGCTCTGAAGCGTGCGGGCGAGGCGGGCATCCCGCTCCTATGAGGAGATGTGGGGGAGATATGTCCGGTGCAATGTCAGGGTGTCGTACCGCATTTTACTTAATCTCACACTGCTGAATACAGCTGAATACGTGTCCTCTCGAGTGCTAGATACGTATTCAGCTTCTACTTTCTCGCTCCGATGCCACCGACTCTGGCTTCTCCGATGATACCGCCTCGGCGCCGCTCGAGCCGGGCACGCCCTTTGGCGAGAGAGCTGAGTCGTACCCAAGCGCACGCAGATCGGCCCACGTGTCCTCCGGCCGCGCCATCGTCTGCAGCTGCATCATCTCGAGAAAGCCGCGGCGCGTGAGCCTGCCCTGCCCGTTCGTGGTGAACTCGCCCACCTGCGAGAGCTCCGCCTCGCCGAACTCCTCGCCGCCGTTGCACGTGCGCGCGAAAGACTGAAGTTCTGCCGTCGACCAGGCGCCGTCCACGTCGGCGTCGAAGCGGCAGAAGACCTCGCCCAGCGCCGCTTCGAGCGGAGGAACGAGCCAGTCGTCCACGTCGAAGTGCGACGCCGATTTTTCTTCTTCCAGGAGTAAAATCGCGGCGCGCGTCCTGTCCGAGCCTGACTGTTGTTCATCTTTCTACATACATACATGGCGCGCCGGTCGTGGTGTCGAACGCTGGCCCTCCCCCTCTGCTGCTTGTCCGTGCCTCTGCTCCGCCTCCTCCGCGAGAGCTCAATGGCACCCGAGTTCACCAACGACGACGGATTCATCACGTGGGCCCGGCGTTCCAAGGAGGTCATCTATCGGGTGCCGCGGGCGCTGCGATGGTTCGTGCTTACTGCCCGGGAATTGCCAGCTCGCGAGAGCCGAGAGCAGGCGCCCGCCGGCAAGCGGGTCATGACGCTTGACGGCTTGTGAGAGTTGTGTCTTCTTTTGGTTTTGATTGATCGTGTGGTTATAAACGCAGCAGCTGCTTCGCCAGGGCGTTTCTGGCCCCGGCGCTACTTGGGCCCATGCGCCGTGTAGCTCGCTCCCTGGTCCAAGCCCTCGCGGCCGGGCATGTCCGCGCTGTACGACCGCCAGTAGCAAAAGGCGCTCCCGCGAGTCAGCTCCCACGCCGCGTCAAAAGCGGCGCGCACTGGCGGGGGAAGCTCGGCGGCCTTGGCCATCTCGCACGCCTCGAGGTTCGCCTCCAGCTGGGCGAGCGAGGAGGCGCCGATCAGCAGCCCGTCCGTCTGGGCCAGCGCAGAGTGGCGCAACAGCCAGCAAAACGTCGCCTGCAGCAGCGGCAAGCCCGCCTCGCCGCAAGCCGCCTCGATGGCGGCTAGCGCCTGCGGGACAGGCTCGCGGACGTGTCATGGACGCGTCCCTGTCCAGGCGGCGCGCTCGGTGGCCGCGCGCGCGCGTCAAAGTTGGGCGGCGTGTAGAAGCGGGGCAGGTAGTTTGGATTGTTCTTGAAGCGGCCCGCGGGCACGTCGCCGCCTCGCTTGTGCGCGCCGCTCAACAGACCCGCCGCGAGCGGGTTGAATGCGACGAAGGAGCAGCCGTGCTCGCGCAGCAGCGGCAGCAGCTCCAACTCAACCGCGCGGTTGAGAGGGTTGTACAGCCCTTGGTACACGCTCGGCTTGGTCAGCCCGTGCTCGGCGCACAGCGCAAAGGCGCGCGCAACCTCGGACGCGTGGTAGTTAGACATGCCGACGGCGCACACCCGCCCCTCCTGCACCATCGTGTGCGCCTCGCGCAGCGACTCGAGGAGCGCCGCCTCCGTGTCGGGCTGGTGAAGGTAGTACTCTGCTAGCGACTCCACGCCAATCGCAGCCAGCGACGCGTCGAGCTGCTTCCGCATGCCCGCCGCTGTGAGCCCGCCGGGCTGCGATGGCGCCGCCTTGCTGCCGACGAGCAGGTCGGCCGACACGCAGCTGCGGCAGCTGCGTAGGGCACGGCCGAGCATCGGCTCCGTCTCGCCAGCCGCGTAGATGCGCGCGGTGTCGACGTGCCGCCCGCCTGCGGAAGCAAAGCGCTCGAGGAACTGCAGCGCGACCCTGTCGTCGACGGGTGCGCTGGCCTGGTTCCAGGCGAAAGTCATGGTTCCGAGGTACAGGCGAGGGAGGCGCATGGTCGATCGCTCGCGACAGAGTGAAAGCCGCGGAGGTTGAGGCTAGAATTCTACGTCGAGAGCCAACCGCGCGCGGCCGTCGACCGGCAAGCCGTGCGACTGTCTTTGTTTGAAGTAAAAAGTCGAATCAGAGCGCCGTCGGCGTTGTCCTGAGTTTTCTCCCCTGGACCGCCCGTCCGGCACCGCTCCGGGACGCACGCCGGCGAAGCACCATCAAGCTGCTGTACGGCCCCGGAATCGCCTCCCCTGGCTTAGCTAAAGTGAGAGTTATTGTGCACGTGGTCAGCCTCTACAATATATGTATGTAAAAGAGGAATGCAGAAGATTGGACAGGGGAGGGACGCGTCCAAGGGGGGAACGGAGGCTTGGGATTTTGCATCTCGGCTGCATCCATGGGCCAGGGAGGCGAATGTAGACAGTGAGCGGCTGACGTCCTCGCGGGCGTGGCTGAGTACAGCCGACACTACGTGCTGCGGCAGCCCGCGGAGTCGCAGGAGGCGCGGTGGAGCGGCTGCGCTTGGACGCGACGGCGAGGCTGGCCGGGCACGCTGTCGTCGAGAAAGGCACGCACGTCGAGATCCTGGGTTCGCAGAGGAGGGTTCGTGTGGATGCGGTCGAGTACGACGGCTACCCGGACGCCGAGCGTCTCCTCTCGTTAGAGGAAGAGACGTGGCTAGGCAGGTGACGCTCGGCGCCGGCAGCGCGGCCCCTAATACCAGCGGCGAGGCGAGCTCACTGGAGAGCGTGAGCCGTGGCGTGTGTGCGGGAGCCGCAGTGCGGAGAGAGCAAGCGCGAGACCGAGAGACGGTATATGTGATTTGTGTGTCGTCGATCTTGGAATTGTGAATTGGAGACGACTCTCGCAGTGACTTCAGACTTGGATCTCTCCGATGCCCGCGCCCCGGCGGCGGGGGCTGTGACTCTGAGGCAACTGGCAGTGCCTATCAGAGAGTGCCCAACAGCCCGACAAATCACCTACCTGACAGCACCTGACAGCCTGACAGCCAGGGCTCAGGGTGGGGCGGTTGTGGGGGCTACGGAGATATTAGTCAGAGTACAGCAGGCGGCGAGTGCAGCCTTGTCCGAATATCTTATTAATCTTTAATGATCATTTGGGGAGGTCTTCTTTGAGCTGTTGCCATTGCACTTAGGAGGAGGTGCATGGCTGGGGCTGGATCCAACATGCTTGTACGAGTACACGCGTATGTAAAGCTGCTTGCGGTGACTACATGGATCATGTCTTCTTGGTATTTCTTGTTTGCCACAAAATCAAAAAGAAAACAAAAAACGAAAACAAAGATTTTGTAATACGATACAAACGGCCTCTTTTTTGCCAAGATCTTTATAGAAGAAAACTGACGGAAAGAAAAAACACCGCGGGGACCCACTTCCCCCCCCTTCCCGAAATTCAGAAATCAGTGCCAAAACTCACGAGACCTCGATACTAACAAAGACTACGATACAAGAGGTGCTATGTCCCGCCTGAACTCTGGCTATCACTGTATAGAAAGGAGACCGAGACCGAGTTCTCCTCGTAGAGCACGCCGTGCGCCCAGAGGCTGGGCACAAACAAGACGTCGCCAGCCTGTTGCGTGCACTCCAGCTGGCGGCCGAGCTGACCGCGGCGCGCAGGCTCAAAGTCATCAAAGAAGTGGGCGTTGCTGTACGATGCGTCGGCAGGAGGGTATAGGAACCACCGCTTCCGGCCGTGCAGCAATGCGCTCACCGCCATGTAGTGGAAGTGGAGGGAGGTGCCGGAGAAGGGCGAGCCCACGTTGATCTGGTAGTTGTTGAGCACCGCCATGCCGCGCGCGAGCTCGCTCACCCAGCCAGTGACGGGCTGCAGGTCTAGTAGCTCCAGGGTGTGATTATGCAGGTGCGCGTGCGGCGCCCATCGCGCCTCGACAACGGTATCCGGCGAGAGGGTGGAGTCCGAAGCGTGCTGGCTGAGCTTGTGCTGCTCTCCGTTTTGGATGGCTTCAAACTCCGTACACTGACACTTTACCTCCCAGAGCTCGTCCCGGTCCGCCACGGCCATCCTCGGCCTCCGGAGGGCCCCCGGCCGCGGCGCGGTGCGGCGGCGTCACAAATCCGACGGCAGAGCACCGGGACGCGGTCGGGGGATCTGAGGTCCAGTGAGGCGTATGCATTCATGCCTATCCAGGGCTATCACCTGGACCTATCAACAGGCGCCTGCGGCGCCGTGGTCAGGAGCTGCTGTTCACGCCGGTCCACACTTTCATAGTGGACAGTAGTGTTCCGAGGGCAAGGGAGAGAGCGCGGAGGAGAGCTGGACCAGTCGCGCTCCCACGCACGGCTGCACGCGGCGTCCGGGAGCTGTTTGTCGCGACGAGCATGGTGGAGAAGCCAGGTGGAGAAGCCCAATGTTCGTTCTAGCGGAGTGTGAGGGAACCGTGGGCTGATCATATTGGCCCATTGTGGATGCTTATTCATGTGGCGCATGTGATCAAACTGCGAGAGGACATGGCTTCGTGGCGAGCGGAGCATGGTGACCCGAAGACCATCTCCTGCAAAGGCTGCAATGCACGACTCGCCAGTGATGAACTTGGCTGTGGTGACAACCTCTCCTAGCTGCCTGCCCAGTTCCGTGCCGGCGCATTTCGCAATGTGCACCAGCTTCACCACCGCCGCCGCGTCGCCGACTTCATCGTGGAACGTGCGGATGGCGGCTGGAGCGTTTTGTGAAGCGCTTTGCAGGGCTTCCGGGAGCATCTCACTTGACAGGACGGTAAATCCAAAAAGGAAAGTGGGGTCTCGCACAGCGCTCTCGCTCTTCGCTGCGGCCGCGGCCGCGGCCTGCCTGTTGGCGGTGCCGGTGCGCGCCCCGCAGCGTTTGACTTTTACCAGTGTTGGTACATTGTAATTACTGACTTTGGAGGCCTGGTTCTCGAGACTGTAACGTCCACCCATACCGCGTTGGTGTCCCAGTCGTTGGTCGGACTGTGTTTCGCCTTCCCATCAATCAATCACGCCCTTGTCTCTCTCCCTTTTCTCTCTCCCTTGTACGTTCCGAGACATTTGTACCTGATGATACGATAGATTGCCATATTAGGCAACGACCCAGATTCAGCAACGGCCGTTTTATTCCGTTTTGGCCGATCGCCCAGAGCCGTTTCAGGCCAAAAATAGGCATTTTCGGCTCTAGACGGCGCCAACGCTTTCATTGAGCGATCCTCACACTGATTATAAAGCGCACGTGACCTACCCGGACCGTTTCGCGCGATTCGGACTCAGCAATGCCAGGATGTCTGGGCGCACCGGCGCGTCGGTGGCAGTGGGATCGCACGCGTTCACCAGAGCCGCCGACGCGTCGAGCAGCGCGGCTCTGAGGCGGCGTTGCGGAAGCGGAGGACGTCAGTGTGCTCCGGCCTACCCTAAAGACCAAATATACCACATTCCCAACGCGTTTGAACGTCCTCTAGCGTCCACACGTGGCTGGGACACGCCTTCCTCGCGTCCCGCGGGTTCCCCAGCAGCAGCCGACGCGTCGACGAGCAGCGCGGCTCTGAGGCGGCGTTGGGGAATCCGAGGAACGCGTCGATGCAAAGGCCTCGTCGGGCTTCCGTTCACTCTACATTCACACACATTATTGTTCACTGCGCCCCACTCTACTTCGCCTTCTCCCTCGCCCACCTCCCTGCCCATTTTCAGGCGATGTCAAGGTTGTCTGCCCCCTCACCAACGGCGGGGAGCATGGTCGGAAGGGCGCTTTTGTCGCCTTCGGCAGGGCGGCGATCGCCGCATACCGTCCTATGGCGGCGAGTATCGCTACGCCAGGGAGGACAAGGACGTCGACGTGCGGCTGCTGCTGTTCGAGTCGTTCGGTGGGTTCGGGAGGATCCTCTGGGATGCGGCGAACGTGCTGCAGAACAAGCTGACGCGGGCCCAGTACCTCGATGAGGTGACTTGGACCACCAAGAGCTGGCTGGGGCTGCAGAAGCAGCGCATCTCAGTCGTTCTTCACACGGCCATCGCAGAGCAGATTGTGAATGAGCTTGCCTGCGGCGAGGGCGGTCGAGTGCACGGAGCTAAGTGCCTCGCCACCCTCGCAGGAGTCGCTTAGGCGGCTCCCGTGGTGTACCTGTGTTAGTGCCAGTGCGCGCCAGTCCCGTGCCCAGTTGTGTGATTCAAGGTCCGTCGGCCTCTTTTGACCGCGGCGTTAGAGAGAGTCTTTGCTTGTCATGCCTTTTGAGAGAGAGAGAGAGAGAATTCTTGATACGAAACCACGACGACACACACCAGTCGACTCGCATCGGTTGCCTCCATGAACGGCGGAGCTATTCTCGCGCCCACACCACACCTGGCTCCAACGTGGACACGCCCATAGCTGGGGACACTACTAGGTCACGCATGGCATCACAGAAGTTTTATCTCTGGGCCCCGAAAGGCATCTCTAGCAGTGTCGTTACGCATGCCCCCTCCCATCCTGGGCGCATGCGCCTCACGTCTCGCCAGAGCATAAGCCCTTGGCGTGTGGCGAGACGAGTTTTTCGCCATGCAGCGAGCAGCAAGCCGCCCGCCACAAACAGCCGGAGGCATCGCCACGGCACTGGCTGCGCCGCGCTCCCGCACCCGTCGACGAAGCTCCCCCCGCGGAAGACCGCGCGTAGCGACGCCTTGACGATCGAGATGAGCGCGCTCGAGGCTCGCCCACCTACTGCCCCTGAGAGTTGGTTACTGAGTGGGATCAGCTCCCCCCCTTGGGATCGAAGCCGCCACAACCTCACACCCAACATCTCAGGCGGGATCAGAAGGGGACTCCACACCGGACACCGCCCGGGCACAGCCCCCCTACCCGTCGGATCGCACAGGGCCCCCTAGGAGCAGCCCACACACAATCTCGCATCGGCAGATTGCGCCTGAGTCAGGCAGACAGCAGACAAGGAGAGGAGAGAGGAGAGAGAGAGAGAGAGGAGAGAGGAGAGGGTGAGGGTGTGTGCACACGTGAGGAGAGGGAGGGTGTCTGTGGTGGGCTATAGTCATACTACGTGGTTAGAACCACGCGCCCCTCAGGAGCTTAAGGTAGAGCTGAGCGTCCAAGACGCCTCGGTGCCACCCACCGGCGTGAAGACCATCCGGATCTATCGGGTTCGCCCTCCGGACGGACCCGTCCCCGCGATGGCCCACGGTCCTCCGTCGCCTGGTTGACCCCCTGCCTCCCGGTTGAACCCCCAGTCCTCGTAGTCCATCATGAAATAAACTCAAAGATCCACCACAGCCACCACCCTCCGCCTCCACCGTCGAGCCGCGATCGCTGCCGCCCGCGACGCCGCCCGCCGCGTCAGATTGCCGCGACACGCGCCTCGAGTCCAGTCGGAGAGCCGCGCCGCATCAGCAGCAGCATCAGCACCAGCACCACCAGCACCACCAGCACCACCAGCACCAGAGAGAGGCGCAACCTGCCCGACGCCACCCGCCGTGTCAGCTGCTCCCAACGCGCGTCTCGAGCCGAGTCGCAGAGCCGCGCCGCGCCAGCAGCAGCATATGCACCAGCTTCAGCAACATCACCACCACCAGCAGCACCAGAGAGACAGTGCAGTGTGACAGCAGCGCACAAGCGCTCGCAGAGCGGCGCGCAGCGCCGCGCACGCCACGCCGCGGGCGGTCCGACGAGCGCAGCGTACGTCGGCCGCGAGCCGCGTCACCAGCCGTCTCGCGAGAGAGCGGCGCCGCCGCGTGCGCGCAGCAGCCGCCGCGGCAGAGGCGAGCCGCGGCGACGTCCGCACTAACGGATAACTGCCATTGGCGGTTTTAACTCTCTCTCTCTCTCTCTCTCATGCCTTTTGCCTTCTCAGTGGCTTCTCGAGGTTCTCGAGCTCTGGCGCTCCCGCTCCTGGCCGGTGTGATTACACCGACACGTATGTCTCTGTAGAGGAAAAGAAACTCGCGTCTCTCTTGCGTCACTTTGTGCCCGCCGCCTTAAATTTCTTTTTGCCGAGCCTGCTTGGGCACTTAGACTAGTGATGGCGCCCAAGCGGCAGCGCAGCGCAGCACCAGCTGCAGCGCCTGTCCACACCGGCCGTGTCGTACTCGATGTCGGCGGCACTCGCTTCGTTTCATCGCGCTCGACGCTCGAGGGTGCCTCCTCCTACTTTCGCTCACTCCTCGTGCGGTGGAGCCCGGTGCGCCAACACAGACGCCGCAAGCTGCCTGGCGTGCACTCTGAGACCGCTCTGCCATCCCTCCTTATCACCGTGCGGCACGCGAGGATTGCCGTGCCGCCGCTCCACGTCCGCACGCGTCTCTCCTGCAGGCGACGCCGGACGATCCGATCTTCCTCGACTGCGACGCCGACGCGTTTGGCGTGCTGCTCTCGCACATGCGCGTGCCGTCATGCGTGCTGCTGCCGCCCGGCGACGTCGGCCTCGCCACCCGCGTGTTGCTGCTCGCTGAGTACCTCGGCCTCGACGGATTTCTCACGGCGATCAAGGCGAGGGCCTACTCGCACATGCACAGCAGCTGCAGCACCGCCACCGACGCCGCAGCGGCCACAGCCTTCGACGAGGAGGCGGGAGGCCTGCAGCAGGCCATCGATAAGCGGCTGCTGCCGGCTCGCTTCTTCGCGCCGGAGCCGCCGCCGCCGCCGCCACCGCCAGAGGCCACCGAGCCGCAGCAGCTCCTCGCCGCGCCGGGCGCTTTTCTTTTTTTGACGGCGGGCGGCATGTCGTTGTTAGGCGACCGTTCAGACGCTCATCCCGGCGGCAGGCTTCACCGCAATCTTCGCAGACGACGAGATCGACCTCGACGACGATCTCCCGCAGGATCTCCCGACACCTCCCCACACCTCCCCATCTCTCGCCATATCTCGCCAGATCTCCCCAGATCTCCCCAGATCTCCGGCCGCAGGTGCACTCGGTGCACCGCGTGGTCTCGCTCGCTCTGGTGCAGCTGGCCGACGGCAGCCGCGAGGTGGACGCGCTGATCCAGCCAAACAACAACGAGCTTGAGCCGCGCGGAGGAGAGCGCACGAGGTCGCAGATGGTGCTGGCCTCTGAGCACGCGCGCGACATCCCGTGGGTGCACTGGGTGCTGCGCCCCCACCCTACGGCCACAGGACCGAACCCACGCTGGGTTCGAGACCCTGGAGTGTATGGTACTAGGTGCTCAGCCCCACCCTACGGCCACAGGACCGAACCCACGCTGGGTTCGAGACCCTGGAGTGTATGGTACCAGGTGCTCAGCCCGGCGCGGCTGCCCTCCCTCCTCTCGATTGCGCCCGGTACCGTCCGTGGCCGCTGGGTCACTCCCTCCCTACGAGCGGGCCGAGCTGTGAACGGCGTCTCTTCACGGCTGCAGCTGTGAACAGGTGAAGCCGGGTCACTCCCTCCCTTCCAGCGGGCCGAGCTGTGAACGGCGTCTCTTCACGGCTGCAGGTGTGAACAGGTGAAGCCCGCGTTCGAGCAGGCCGACTTGGGCAGGGCGATCGAGATCGCACACGGCGCGGTGACGGTGGGCGGCGTGCGGCGGCGCGTGGACTGGGAGGGGGAGGTTCCCGGCGATTTGGCCGGTACCATACACACCGTCACGAGCGAGTGCGGTGTGAACGGCGTCTCTTCACGGCTGCAGCTGTGAGCAGGCACCATACACACCGTCACGAGCGAGTGCGGTGTGAACGGCGTCTCTTCACGGCTGCAGCTGTGAGCAGGCACCATACACACCGTCACGAGCGAGTGCGGTGTGAACGGCGTCTCTTCACGGCTGCTGCTGTGAGCAGGCACCATACACACCGTCACGAGCGAGTGCCGCGGCGACGTGATCGTCCGGCGGGCCGATGACACCTACAGCTGCTTTTGCAACCCGAGCGCCGCGCCCACCGACGCCGCCGAGGCCGACATCGCCTTTGCCGAGGTGATGGGCCCGACTTGTCGGGACGGAATCTCGCGCAATCTCGGGGTGATCTCGTGCAATCTCGCCAGGTGATGGACCCGACGTCGGAATCTCGCGCAATCTCGGGGTGATCTCGTGCAATCTCGCCAGGTGATGGACCCGACGTCGGAATCTCGCGCAATCTCGGGGTGATCTCGTTCAATCTCGCCAGGTGATGGACCCGACTTCGGGACGGAATCTCGCGCAATCTCGGGGTGATCTCGTGCAATCTCGCCAGGTGATGGACCCCACGTCGGGCGGCGACTCGCTGCGGGCGCGCTTTCTCGTGCCGGTGACGGGCGTCGGGCGTCGGGACGGAATCTCGCGCAATCTCGGGGTGATCTCGTGCAATCTCGTTAGGTGACGGGCTCGGGCGTCGGGACGGAGAAGGAGCTGACGCTGGCCGACGTGCGCAACATCGCGATGGGCGAGCGGCGCGTCTGCGGCGTCACCTAAGGCAGAGGTACGTCGACGTATTTCTTTTTCTAGGCGAGCGGCGTTTCTACGGCTTCACGGGCGTGGCACGAGCGTGACAGCCACTGCCGCCGCGGGCCGCGCACACGCGCGATGCCATTCACCTTCCCGCCTCCGCGACTTCGTCGTATGTGGACCGGAGGCTTGCCGGTGCATTTGCAGTGGCATTTGCCGAGTGAGCGCGAGCCGCATTAGTGGCCATGGGCTCAGCAGCCGCGAGCGAGCAGCGCACGAGGTAGCGCTTTTTTATGTATGTAAAGAGGGACGGCTCGATTGGTCATTCTCATTGGACGGAGCGGGTGGACGCGACCACAAGGGGGGGGACCTCCGCGGGGCTCCGGCAGCCTCCGGGGCGACGCCGACGCGGCTGCTTTTGGGTTGTAAATAAATAAATAAAATGCGAAACGGACACCACTACTGTGAGATTCGAGTGAGATGGTGTAAATCTAAAAAGGAACAGGTCCCCGCCCGTGAAGTAAAAACGGCGGTTTGATTGGGATTTTGCACATCCGCAGCTGCATCCAATGGCGCTTGGCGGATGGCTGAGCCCTGGCTGTCAGGCTGTCAGGTGCTGTCAGGTGATCTGTCGGGCTGTCGGGCAGCTGTCAGGCACTGTCAGGTGCCTCTGTCAGACCAGCTGTCGGGTGCTGTCAGTGCTGTCGGGTGCTGTCGGGTGCGTGTCTGGGTGTGTGAATCGGACGGCGAGGGGGGCGGAGGGGCGTGAGTGAGTGAGTGTCACACACACACACACACACACACACACACACACACACACACACACACACACACACACACACACACACACACACACACACACACACACACACACACACACACACACACACACTGGCGGAGGGGCTCCCCGGGCCCCGGGGGGGGGGGGGCGTGTCACATCGACACCGAAACACAAGATTGCAGCCTTCGATTGGGCAGGTGTGCCGCCTTTCCCCTCGCCTCGCCGCCTCGCCCAGCGCGACGCGGCGCGAGGTGAGTGCTGGTCGCGCGCAAAGCGCTGCCGCTTCGCCCACAACCAAAGACTGCAGCGAGCCCGCGTCTGCCCGCCGTGCTGCGACCGCCGCGAGAGCGGCTCGTTCCGAGGCTCGAGCGACGCGAATCTGGAACAGTCGTATCGCGGGTGGAGCGCTGCCGCGCGCGCGGCCGGGTCGCCTCCATGCCTACTTCGCTCCCGCCCAAAAGGAGCCCGCACCCTGCTCATCCCGTTTTATGCTGCGGACGCTCGCCCGCCGCCGCCTGCGCCCTCGCAGATCCAAACCAACGTGAGCGAGGCGGGCGTGCCGCGGTGGATCCTTGGTGCTGAGCCTCAAGCTGCGTGAGCTGCGAGTAGGTGCGGCCCTCCTGAGCCTGCGACTAGCGAGCGAGATGCCCGGGATTACCCGAGATCGCTTCGAGACGGTATGGCACTTGCGCACTCTAGCACTCACCTGATCCTCCGTATCTCATCAGCCGAGATTGCCCGAGATTGCACCTTCAATTTCGTTGATTTAATGCCGAGTCCCCAGATTCGTCCAACAGGTCTAGTCTTCGTGCAGATGATAGCAGCGCGGATCGTGATAGAGATGGACGACGGCATTGGCGATGATAGATTTGCGACGGTGGTGCCGGAAGTTCCAGTTCCAGAAGCAGTTCCAGCGATTCCAGACGACATTCTTCGCTTGATAATGCAATTCAAGCATGCGAACTTCAAAAAGAGGTTCGCTGCGGAACATTGGCCCCGAAGGATGCAAATGTTGGCAAGGAAAGAAGCGGAAAGGAGAAAACATGAGGAGAAGAAGGCCATTTGCCAGATGAAGTGCGCTTGTGTCTGGTTCATTGTCGCCTGTGGTGTCGTTCTCGCACTGTTCCTCTGTGGGTGTTAGAGTTGTTTGGGCTAAAAATCTCTTTACTCGAGAATATTCCTCATCGTACATCTCGATCGACACCTAAACACCTTCCCTCACCTTTCAGTCCTTTTCGACTCACGACTGACTGAAACTGAGTCTCTTTGCATCAAATTTCTTTGCACGACACTGGTGTACCTGTGTTAGTGCCAGTGCGCGCCAGTCCCGTGCCCAGTGTCGTGCGAGGGAGTTTTGTTGTAAAATTGTAAATTCTCTTTGCACCGTCCGACTTCGTCGCTGTCAGTCTTTTCTCGACTGTCGTGTGCGAAGAAACAGTCTGGCCACACTTAGTAAAACTTTGGGGTCCCGAGACCGGGACCCACCCGGGACCGCCGCGCAGCAGCGCAGCGCGCGCAGCGCGCGGTTGGGTTGTTGCACGAGTATATGGGCCACGATGTCTCGCTCGAGGTTCTCGAGGTGGATATCCTTTGGCCGCGTTGGGTAGCGAGGATTGGTGTATAAACCCGAGCCACGGAGGCGTGTTTTCTGGCGGCCGACCGTCAGTGCACGGAGTTGCCACTTCTCCGACTGCCCCGGCTAGTTCCCGAGGTCGTCGGGTGTGACCCCTTCGTCCCCCGAGACCTAGCGCGGGTGGGTTGGAGGGGGCGCGCCCCGTTCCTCTCAAATATGAGGGGTTTTGACTCCTACCGGCTCCTGACGCTATCCCTGGCAGCTGTAATGACCAGGATCAGTAGTGTTGTGATAGAGTCTCGCCCATACTAGCGCAGGAGCTGCCACGCTCGCGCCCGGACCGTCCCCTTCTGGGGCCGGTTCCGCAGCCCGCGAGAGCCGACAGCGGGATGGTAGAGGACTGGGGGATAGTCGAGAATAACGCGCCCGGACAGCCCACCGGACCCATCGGGTGCTGGAATTGATTGATTGCTTGCTTGCTTGATTGATTGATGGGAAGGCGAAACACAGTCCGACCAACGACTGGGACACCAACGCGGTATGGGTGGACGCTAGACGGGCGATGACGGTCACACAGGAGCGACACACAGAACCACAAGACAAGACACTCAGCCGAACTGACTGCCACACATCCTGAGCGAACTTCCCTAGTCACCCGCGGCCGGACTCCATCCGGCACGCGTCGCTGGGCGCTCAGAGCTGCGTCCCCTGCTCGCCACCCCGACGCCCAAGGCGCCCGAGCGAACGACAGGCGGCACGCGAAGACGGGTTGCAATCCCGCCGACCGCCAGGCCGCGGGATGATGAGTGCGTGGTCTTGTAGTGGGTCTCGGAAGCTCTCCTCTCGGGCTAGGAGCCAGCCCCTCTCCCTTGCCCTCGGAACACTGTGTCCGAGTCGAGGCGTGTGCTTGCCGGTCGACGGCCGCGCGCGGTTGGCATTGTGACGAGGGTTGCGCGCGGCCGCGGCGCGCCCGCCATGGTTCGGCGCGGCGCGCCTACCAGCGGCAATTGTCGAGGCACGGGAACGCTTACCCGGGGTCATCCTCTGAGCCTGGTCGTCGGCGCCGCGATGCCACGGCGGCGCATTCGACGTCGTCGGCGCGCTGCCCCGCGGTGAGCCCCGCCGCACGTGGCGACGGCCGCAGGTTGGCCCGGTGCAGCGCGCCCTGGCCGCAGACTGAAGAACGGCCACGAGGGGTGTGTGATGTGCGGTGCGGGGTGTGAGGGGGCAGCGTCTTTGTGTGTGCGCGCGCGCGCCGCTGCCGGGAAAGAGCGGGGCCCTCGGGGTACGCCTCGCCCGGCCCCCTCCGAGGGGGTCGTGATCTGAACTGGAGAGGGGGGGGGGGTCGGCCTTGAGAGCGTACGGGTGCTCTCACCGCGCCAGAGGCTCTGCCTCCCCTCTCGGGGATTAAACTGAGGGATAGGGGCGGGGATCCTCCCTCTTCCCGCCATCGATGCCGGGGCTCAACCACACACCGATTCATTATCTTTTGTCCGTCCCGCCGCCCGCCGCGCGGCCAGACTCCACATCACCTCAATGTAAACGAACATTGATGGGAAGGCGAAACACAGTCCGACCAACGACTGGGACACCAACGCGGTATGGGTGGACGCTAGACGGGCGATGACGGTCACACAGGAGCGACACACAGAACCACAAGACAAGACACTCAGCCGAACTGACTGCCACACATCCTGAGCGAACTTCCCTAGTCACCCGCGGCCGGACTCCATCCGGCACGCGTCGCTGGGCGCTCAGAGCTGCGTCCCCTGCTCGCCACCCCGACGCCCAAGGCGCCCGAGCGAATCGCGCAAGCGTACTGTGGGTGGATTGAGAAGTACGGCTGGTGGATCCGCCCAAATCGTACCGTGGGTGGATTGTACGTGGGTGGATTGTACTGCCGGTGGATTGAGAGTTCCGCTGGGTGGATTGAGGCGATGTCCGCTGGGTGGATTGAGATTTGTTCGTCCGGTGGATTGTACGTGGGTGGATTGAGAACGTACGGCTGGTGGATCCGCCCAAATCGTACCGTGGGTGGATTGTACGTGGGTGGATTGTACTGCCGGTGGATTGAGAGTTCCGCTGGGTGGATCGAGGCGATGTCCGCTCGGCGGATTGAGAAGTGTTGGGCCAGTGGATTGAGGAGTGTTGGGCCAGTGGATTGAGGAGTGTTGGGCCAGTGGATTGAGGAGTGTTCGGCCGGTGGATTGAGGAGTGTTGCGCCAGTGAAATCCTACCACACCCATCGAGGCCACCAACCCTGCCGGGAATGCTCGTCTCGTCCCTGCTCGCCGAGGCGCTGCTGGCCCGCCCGGTATGGCCCGCGCCGGCTGGCACCCGCACCGCCCGCGCCGGATGCGCGCCGACCGCGCGCCTCTTCTCCGAGGAGTGGATGGGTCGGCTCGGCACCGCGACTGCCTCCAAGGCGAAGCGCGCAGAGCGGCTGCCGGCGTCGGCACTGGCGCCCGGCTGCGTGCTGGTGGCGGAGCCGGGCTCGTTCGACCACTACTTTCTCGAGTCGCTCGTCCTCCTCCTCGAGCACGGCCCCGCCGGCAGCCGCGGCGTGCTGCTCAACCACGAGACTCCGTGGCAGGTCAGCCACGATGGATAGGAGGCGACCGAGACACGACCCGGGCGCGGTTTGGAAAGGCCGCTCAGCGATGGGCAGAGCGGCCACGCGCTGGAGCGACACACGCGACACACAGACGCACAGACAAGACCACCTCTTCCAGCAGCGCTGCCAAGAAAGCGTCGCGGACGCAGCGCTCGATTTGCAGAGGTCTCTCTGTCTTCGGCCCGTCCTGAAACCGTGCTCCTCCTGTGGCAGGTGGACGAGATGGGGCCCGCGGCAGCCCTCGGCCCGTTCGCCGCCAACCCGCTCTTCCTGGGCGGCGACGCGGGCGCGGACACGATGGTGGTGGTGGTGGTGGTGCAATAAAGGCGCCTCTGCCGACCCAGGAACCTCTGAGGCCTAGGCGCAGACACGATGGTGATGGTGCATGGCGAGGCGCACCTTCCGGGCGCCCGCGAGGTCGGGCGAGGTGTCCATGTCGGCGGCGTGGCGGCGGCGGTGCGGGCATGGTGGGGGCGGGCCCACCCCCTCTCAGGTTGAGTGGTCTTGTGATCTGCTCTCTGCCTGATTCAACCGGCCAGGTGCGCGCGGTGGAGGAGGGCGCGCTGCCCACGTCGCGGTTCAAGTTCTTCTACAAGAGCGTCGAGTTTCTGCCCGGGGCCCTCGACGCGCAGGTGGCGGACGACCTCTTCTCCCTGGCTGCTCTGTCGCCCGCCTGGTTGTACGGCCAGGCAGGGCAGCGGTCGATGTGGGCAGAGGTGTGGCCGGACACAGACACAGACACACACACACAGACACACACACACACACACACACACAGACACACACACACACACACACACACACACACACACACACACACACACACACACACACACACACACACCGCTCACCCACGCGCACTGGGCCTTGCACTTTGGATGCCGTGGGGCGCTCCTGCCTGTCTAGACGTGGAGTCGCGAGGGTCGCCCGGGCCCTAGCCCCACCACCTCGTGTGTGTGGAGAAGCTTCCCTTCCTTCCCTTCCCTTCCCTTCCCTTAGGTGAGGCAGGCAATCTCCGAGAGCTCGGGGCCGGGCAGCGGCGGCGGCGGAAGCGGGGGGGAGTGGGCAGGGGGCGGGGGCATGCCCGCCGAACAGGCGCGCTGCTGCTGTTACGTCTTCGGTCCCCCGCGGGAAGCCCCGCGCATAGGACAACAACGTCTGTCCCACACACGCACAGGCGCGCACATACGTCATGCTCGGGCACCCCCCACAGTGTAGTGGTGTGAGCACACAAGTACTAGCAGAGTGCGAGCAGGCGCGCGCGCGGGCAAAGCACGACGACGAGCTCAAGGCGTACGTGGCGACGCTGCAGGCGGAGGCGGCGGCGGAGGAGGCGGCAGCGGCCGCCAAGGCGGCGGCGGAGGCGGCGTTTGCGGCGGAGGCGGCGCCGCCGAGTGCCGCGGCGGCGGAGGTGGCGGCGGCGGAGGTGGTGCCGGCGGAGGAGGCGACGGCGGCGGCGACGGAGGCGGCGGCAGCGGCGGGGGAGGGGGAGGCGGGGGAGGGGGAGGCTGCGGCGGCGGCGGCGACGGAGTGGCTTGCGGCGCGTGGAATCGTCGCGCCCCCCGCCAAGCAAACACGCGAGGGCGGGGGCGGCGAGGGCGGCGAGGGCGGCGAGGGCGGCGAGGGCGGCGAGGGCGGCGAGGGCGGCGAGGGCGCACAGGGTTCGAGCGCGTCGCAGCTGGCGGAGGTGCTTGAGTACCGGCGCTACATGGGGAACGACCAGTGGCGGGTGCGGTGGCGCGGCGACGGGGGCGAGAGCCGTGGGCGGAGGGACGCGTGCCGGCGGCGTCCTCCTTCTTGAGACTCGCATCGTTCTCCCCGCAGGCGAGAGCTGGGAGCGGTGGGCGGTCCTCGACGGCGAGGCGCTGCGGGAGCGGGCGGCGGCGCTGAGGGAAGAGCGGCGCGGGTAGAGTCAGGCTCAGCGTCAAAAAGAGTGGACCGACGAGCGTGCTCGCAAGAGCCGTGCTCAGTTTTATACGTTCGGCTGTTGACTGTTGGTGTTGCAAACACACGCGCGGCTAGCCACGCTGGCTCCCCCAACGGTCGCCCTCAACCGCTCTCCTCCCGCTGAAGAGACCCTGCGCCCACGCCCCACCCCACGTGCCACGAGCCGTCGACGCGCGTCGGCGGCGATGAAAACGCGCAGATCTCAGACTCTCGTGTCCTCCTCGTCGCGCCGCCTCGGCTTGCCGCCAAAGCAGCCGCACGACGCCATCAGGTTGAAGGCCCACGCAACCTTGCACAGCACAAAAGACAGGATGAGGACTGACGGAGGGAGGCCGTGCTGCAGGCTCCACGCGGCGAGGAACGCGGTCAGGCCGATCAGCGACCAGTAGGTGACTGCGATCCACCGCCGCGCCGGCCCGCTGCAGAGGGTGTTCCCGCAGTACTTTCGCGGCCCAAAGAAGAAGACCATGGCCTGGATGCCTACGTGTTCAATACGCCAGCCTTAGGGGGGGAAGACGGTACTGTGCAGCGTTCTCAGAGCACCGTACAGTGAATACGGCGGACTACAGCGGACTACAGCGGAGTACGTGTCCTCTCGAGCGCTGCTTGGGATACAAGAATACGTATTCCGCTTCTAGGACAGGATGCCCGCCACTGCACCGATGGCGAAGACGACCAGGAAGGCCTCCACGCCGACCAGCGAGAGAAAGACGACGTCGAGGATCGCGCAGAGAGCGGAGACGCACACGCAGGTCATCATCCCAAACCACGGGTCGACGCCGCAGCAGCGGTCGCGCCTCGGCTCCGCCTCTGCCTCGGCCTTCCGCCCCGGCTGCCGCTGCTGCGGCTGCGGCGGCGGCTGAAGCGCTCGCGCACTCCCACTCTCCCGCGCTGCGGTGCCGCGACCGCGAGCGGCGCCCAGCTGCTGACTGCTGCGACCGAGGGCGGCGCTCCTTGCCCGGTCGAGCGCCGCCCGCGAGCCACTCGAGCTCCGGGCGCGCTCGAGCGCGGCGGCGGACCGCGCAGACGGCGCCGACGCCATCTCCGTTGTGCGCTGCGACTGCGGTGCTGCCCACGCTGGCAGCTGCGGCTCTGGCGCCGGCTGCGGCTCGCGCGCCGGTGGCGCCGGCTGCGGCTCTGGCGCCGGCTGCGCCGGCTGCAGCTGCGCCGACGGCGAGCTGAATGGGTTCGCTGCTTGGCGGAGCGACGACCACTCGCTAGCGGCTGCTTCACCGGTGGCCGCGTTGCTGGTCTTGCGAGGCATCAGAGAGAGTCTCTGAACCTGAGGCTGTCCACAAGTAGAGCACCGCTTCCCTCGCGGCAATGGGCGAAAGAAAAATATTACCCTAAAAAAGAAAGCTCGCCGGGCTCTGCCCGTTGCCGAACCAAAGCCCCGCCACCGACACCGACTCTTTCGCGGCCCCGGTCCGGCGCATTCGCCGATGGACGACGCCGCCCTCATGGACCTCGCCCTCTCGGAGGCCGCGGCCGCCCTCGAGGCGGGCGAGGTACCTGTCGGCTGCGTCTTTGCGCACCCGGCGCGCGGTGTCATCGGCAGAGGCCGCAACAACACCGTGGCGTCGCGGAACGGCACGCGGCACGCCGAGCTCGAGGCGATCGACCGGATGCTCGACGTCGACGGCGTGCCGCCCGAGTCGGTCGCCGAGTGCACGCTGTACGTCACCGTCGAGCCGTGCCTGATGTGCGCGTCGGCGCTGCGGCAGCTGCGCGTGTCGCGCGTGGTGTTCGGCGCGGCGAACGACAAGTTTGGCGGCTGCGGCTCCGTGCTCTCCCTGCACGCCGACGGCGGAGCGAGCGCCGCTGGCGACCCGCCCTACCCCGCCGTGGGCGGCGTGAGGAAGGCAGAGGCGGTGGCGCTGCTGCGGCTCTTTTACGCGCAGGAGAACCAGAATGCACCGCAGCCGCAGAAGCGCACGCGCAAGCAGCTCGAGCTCGGCGCCGAGGCGGCGAGGGAAACGCAGCGCCTGCCCGGGAGCGAGCGAGGAGGGAGAGAACCAGACTCGTAGTGTGCCTCTTGCTCGGGCCTCTTGCTGCTTTTGGCCTAGTAAAAAGTACCCAGCACCAGGGGTGTGAATGGGAGGTGCACACGCGCCTCACGCGCTCACGGTGTCCCTCACGCGCACGCGGCACGGCTGCGCTCCACGCACTCGGACCGGACACGGTTCACGGAGCCGCCATGCAGTCGCCGTTCCTCGACCCGCGCGCTCCCCGGGCCCCCCTCCGCGCGTGCAGACGTCTAGGCACACGCAAATGGCCACGCCGCCTCGCGCGTCCTCTCACCGTCCTGGCGCCCACGCCTCGATCTTCTTGGGCAGCAGCTGGTTCGACAAGTCCTCTCCGTGGCCTAGGCAGCTGTCGTTGCCCTTGCCCCAGGCAAAGACGGCGTCGGCAGTAGTGGCGAGGCTGTGCCATGCTCCCGCCGACACAGCGACGACTCGCTGGCCAGCTACGGCCTCGATCTTCTTTGGCAGCAGCTGGCACTGCTCGTCGCCGTGGCCCAACCGGCCTTCGCCTCCACCGCCCCAGCTCCAGACGCCGCCGTCGGCGGTGATGACGAGGCTGTGCACGCCTCCAGCCGAGACAGCAACGGCGCGCTGGCCAGCAAAGGCCTCGATCTTCTTGGGCAGCAGCTGGTCCTGCTGGTCGCCGTGGCCCAGCTGGCCACCGTCACCACGGCCCCAGCTCCAGACAGCTCCGTCGGCGGTGAGGGCGAGGCTGTGCACGCCTCCAGCCGACACAGCGACGACGCGCCGCCCAGCAAAGGCCTCGATCTTCTTTGGCAGCAGCTGGTGCTGCTGGTTGCCGTGGCCCAACCTGCCTTGGTGTCCCCAGCCCCAGCTCCAGACGGCTCCGTCGGCGGTGAGGGCGAGGTTGTGGTACAGCCCAGCCGACACAGCGACGACGCGCTGGCCAGCAAAAGCCTCGACCTTCTTGGGCAGCAGCTGGCGCTGCTCGTCGCCGTGGCCCAGCTGGCCACCGTCACCACGGCCCCAGCTCCAGACGGCTCCGTCGGCGGTGAGGGCGAGGTTGTGGTACAGCCCAGCCGACACAGCGACGACGCGCTGGCCAGCCAACGCCTCGATCTTCTTTGGCTGCCACTCGGTCTGCGCGTCGCCGTGGCCCAACCGACCAAAGCCTTCACAGCCCCAGCTCCAGAGGGCGCCGTCGGCGGCGAGGGCGAGGCTGTGGGTGTCTCCAGCCGACACGCTCACGGCGCGCTCGCCGCCCAGCGTCGAAGGGAGGAGGGTCGGCGTGTTGAGCTGCGTCACGCCCTCGCCGTGGCCGAGTAGTCCCGGCGTCCAGCTCTCAGCCTTGCCGCACGACGAGAGCCGCCCCTCGCCGTCCATGAAGAGGCTGTGAGACTGGCCTGCCGCCGCCCTCACCGGCGGGTTGGACTCGCGCAACAAGGCAGAGTAGCACAGCCACCGCACGGCGCAGCCCTCGCCCTCTGGCTGCGCCGGCAGCTCGAAGCCGCGCTCTTGCGCCCACAAGCGGATGGCCTCCACCGCAAGCGAGGCGTGAAAGAGCAGCGAGACGGCCGCGACGCGAGCGATGTCGACGGGGCTATCGCAGCGAGAGAGGACGCGCTCGAGGAGGTCCGTGGGGAGGTCGAGCAGGCGGGCGGGTGGCGGCGTGTCCGGCGAGGGGGCAGCGGTGGAGGCGGTGGCGAGGCGGCGGGGCAGACATGCGAGGAAAAGAAAAAGCGCGCGCCCCAGCGTAGAGGGCCTCGTTAGCCCTCTTTTTGGTATATTAAAAAGAAAAGGTCGTTTGGGCCAACGGTGTGGCGAGCCAAAATGGTGATGTCCGAGGCGCTGCGCTAGGCTCAGAGCGAGTTCGCGCTGCGCTAGGCTCAGACGGCGAGTTCGCGCTGGCCGCTGCGCTAGGCTCACAGACGGAGACGGCGAGCGGGAGTGCGCTGCGATAGCGAGGGAGGGCGAGACGATCGAGTGGTCCCGTACCATGCGGAATCGACCCTATCCAGTGCTTTCAAGTGCTCAAGAAAGAAAAGGACCGACTCAGACAGCTGAGACAGCGGACAGCGGTGCAGATGGACAGGTCTCTCAGGTGACAGCTGAGGGAGGGTGTAGATAGAGGATGTAGAGTGTAGAGCGCTGTAGAGCTGTAGAGATGTCTGTGGTATGCCTCACGGCTGCGACTGGCCGGCGCCTTGGCGCGTCAGCTCGGCTCGGCGCAGCGTAGCGATAGTGGCCAGCGCAACTCGCCTGGACTCAACGCTCAGCCAGGAGCTCCCGCACGCGCTGGCGCGAGTCATGGCGCATGCAACGCGTCTGAATGCTCGCTTCGCCTCGCGCAAATGCGACCGTCCTCGCAGCCGACAGTCCACCGCCTGCTAAAGAAGCACTGCGACGAATGCGGCACCCGCGACGCATGGCAGGCTGGTCATGACGCAGTTATAGGGTGTTGTGTGCCGTCAGAGTGACTCTCTGTGTGTCAGGGATAGTCAGGGCCGTCCATCAGAGCTCCAGTAAGCTCGGAGACACCCCATTAGTGCGACTCGACCTCTTTGAGTCACTGCCTTCCCGGCGGTTTGGCTGTAGAGCCTCTACAACAAACTCTACAACAAAATCGCGCTCTACATCGCTCTACAACGCACCCGCCTCGTCACGCGGCGGATGTAGAGCTCTACAGCTCTACAGCGCTCCAGAGCGCTCTACATCTCTACAGCTCTACAGCGCTCTACACTCTACATCCTCTACACCCTCCCTCAGGGTGACAGGTGTGTGCACGGACACACTCAGACGGACGCAGCAGTGGACCGGGCCGCGTGCTGCCGTGTGCACCGAGTTCCGAAGGACCGCGTGGTCCGCGCCGCCACGCCGGCCGCGGCCGCGAGAGTCGCGAACGCCGGTGCACGCGCCAGAGCCCAGAGGAGCGGCGGCGCCCCCGCGTGCGCGGCCTGCGTGCGGCGCGGTGTACGTCTCTCTTCGCGCAGGGGCTCCCTTATCTTTGACAAGTGCGCCATCGTTCCAATGATGGCCGCCATGCTCGTCTCGATGGTCGAGTCGGTTGGAGACTACTACGCCGCCGCGCAGCTCGCGGGCGCCCCGCCGCCGTCGGGTCCCGTCATCTCGCGCGGCCTCGCCGGCGAGGGGTGGGGTCTCATTCTCTGCGGCCTCATCGGCACCGGCAACGGCACCACCTCGTACGGCGAGAACATCGGCGCGCTCGGCGTCACCAAGGTTGGCTCGCGCGCCGTTGTGCAAGCGGGCGCGTGCACGATGATCATCATGGGCTGCTTCCCCACCGCGACGATTCACCATTCGGCCTGGAGGGAGATGCATGCGGCGGCGGGCCGCGCAGGGAGGAGGGAGCAGGTGCGGTTTGTCTCGGCGAGCCAGTTCGGCGCGGGCGCGTTTTTGAACGCGATCCCGACCCGCGCGCACTTCCGTCTGCCCTCGTACGTGCTGCGCTTCGCGCTGCAGCGCCGCTTCGGATTACACCTGTCGATGATGACGGACGTCATGGCGGACGGCATCTACAGCCAGCACGGTCTGCCCTTTGACGCCCTTGGCGACGTGGCGCAGAACGACGGCGCGGCGGGCCACCAGACGCGGCACAAGGAGGTCCTCCTGGACCTTGTCGAGCTGCTGCGGGGCAAGCTGGGGCGCGGCGCGGTGGAGCACGAGTTTCACTGCGAGCACAGCACTACGAGGACGGACTTGTACATTTACCAGGGCGTGATTGGGGACCTGCCCTGCATCGGCGACACGAAGATCTTTGCCGGTGTGCCGTCGGACCCCTCGGGGGTGGGGCGCATGGGGGCGTTTGTCGCTTGCGGCAACACGCTGCCACGCGCCCGCGAGACGGTTCTGGGCGTGGAGGGCGGGGACAGGGGTGGGAGGGTGGGGATGTGGGACCCGCGGACGGGGACCGGGACGGTCGAGGCTGTCAAGGGCCAGTACACGGACGCAGAGGGGAAGTGCCGCGTGGAGGCGCTGCTCTTCGAGGAGTTCGGCGCAATGAGCGCGGGGGTGGAGGAGCTGCTGATGCGGGTGGCTAAGGTGGCGGGCCGGAAGCTCACGTGGTGGCAGTACGACCAGACGTCGTGGTCGGCGCGCGAATGGATGCCGTTTGCGCTGCAGCGACTGTCGGTGCAGCTCTGGACGGCGCTCGCGGACGAGGCACAGCGCGCCATTGGTGCGGCGTCGCGCGACCGCGAGGGACCGCGGGGGGGGGGGGGGGCTAGCGGGATGGGGGGTTCTAAGGGGAAGGGAGCGGGGGGCGCCCAGTAGGGCGCCGGCGCCCCAGCGTAGAGGGCCTCGTGTAGCCCTCCTTTTGGTATATTTAAAAGAAATGGTGGACGGAAAGTCGAGGTCGGGCCTCGAGAGCTGCCTTCCTGCTCTCTTGCGCCGCCAATGATCGCTCTTCAGCCCTCGCCGTCGCGTGCGCGTGTCGTCTCGTGCTCCGTCGCTTTGGCGCTCTCGCTGACCGCCGTCGTGCTGGTCCTCGCGCGGAGCTCCGCCATCGCCGCAGGCGCCATCGCCGTCTCTGCCGACGTCCCCGCCTCCACCATGTCCGCCTCTGCCCTCACCGGCGGCATGGTGAAAGGCACCGTCGAGGCCGACCGTGCCGGCTTGCCCACGGGCCGTGGCATGAAAACAAACGCCTCCGAGTCCAGCGGCCGTGGCACCACCACGCGCGATCCTGGCTGCGGCCTCCAACCCCTGCCAGAGCTCCTTGGATGTGCCACGCTGGCTCCTTGGATGTGCCGTTGCGCGAGCTTTTGCTGCCTTTCCGACTGCATCGACTACCCCGCCGCTTGCGGCGGCTGCAGTTTCTGCTGAGACGGAATGACCAATGCGACTATCCTGGATGATTGGCAGGCCAATCTGGTCGTGGCGCTCGATGCCGGCGCTCCTCCGAGATCTCGCCTTCGTCGCCGTGACATCCGCATGCTGCGGACACCGCCGCCCGTACTCTCTTCTCTCTCCTACCCTTTGGCCAGGCGGGGGCGTGCATTCGCTCTCCACTACACCACTGGTTGGCCGTGGCGGTGGCCGCCCGTACTCTCTTCTCTCTCCTACCCTTTGGCCAGGGGGGGGCGTGCATTCGCTCTCCACTAGTTGGCCGTGGCGGTGGCCGCGCGTACTCTCGCGTTCTCGGCTCCCACGCTCTGCCATGTGCGCTTCGTAGAGTCTCGGCCTGTCTGGTCTGGTCTCTCTCCGGGCACTGGGCTCTGCGTCTGGTCTGCGGGGTGGCAAGGCATGGCTAGATATCATGTGGCGGGCCGCCTACGGTAGGCCCCTGTGATCGGAGGTAGAAAAAAAACGGTTCATGTTCATGTTACAAAAACAAACACGATCGAGTAACCGCTTATCTCCTCCACTCCGCGCGGCAGGCTTCACCCGCTACCGCGCCTACCCTCGGGCTCGGCTCGAACACAACCCATTTTGGGGCGCACCTGGGGCATCAACCATGTCTATATGCACAGGCGATTTGCTGCATGTGCAATACGGCCATGATAGAGCGAGGGGTGAGTGCGAGCGCGCGGGACTAGGCGGAGTACTTGCGATGGCGGTGGCGGGTGACGGTCCCAGCAAGGGGTGACAGGCGAAAGGCGGCACGATAAATCGGGGACCAGGGTCAGGGTAGGGAGTTATCAGCTCGGCTCTATCTTATATGCCCACTCAACTGGAACGCGATTGTAGTAGGGTCTCTCCGATTCTGGTGCCAATAAATAAATAAAACGGACTCACCAAACAAGGGGTGGGAGAAGGACAGGGTCCCCACCTGCGCGAGCAGGATCTTGTAAGGACGATTCTGGTGCCAACTTCATAATAAAAGATAGGGCATCTAAGCGGGTGCAGCACCCGCGCCGGTCGCCGCACCCGCACCAGCAGGCGCCGCGCTGGCCGTCCCCGCGCGGGTGGCTCCGATGGCCGCCGCGCCGGCCGCCCCGCGGGCCTCCACACCGGCGAGGTCCTCCATCGGCATCGCCGTGCCGGCGGGTGCCCCTCCAGTCAGTGGGTGCCACCGCTCCGGTGGTCGCCTCGCCGGTGGTCGCCTCGAGCGGGTTGGCCGGCTGCGCCGGCCAATCTCTCTCTCAATCTCGGTCGAAGCGGCCCCAGCAGCGCCGCCTGCGCCGCCGTCTGCTCCTCCGCCGTCCTCCGCCTCTTCTCCTTCGGCGCATCGGCCCACCCCTGGTGCTGCTCGGCGCGCCGCTCGCCCTTCTCGAGCCTCTCCCTCTTCGTGGGCGGACGGGCGTACGCGAACAGCTCGTCGGCGTCGCCCGCCGCCGCCCGCCTTTCCGCGGGCACGGTGCGCACCGCCTCCGCCGTCCACGCCTTCCGCAACGCCGCGCCCCGGCCTTCGCCGAGCCGCTGGAATGGTCCGCCGCCGTCGGTGTTCGCCGCCGCCGCGGCCCAGGCCGCCGCGGTCAGCGCCGCGCCCTGACCGACAAACGCGCACAGCGGATCCGGCATCTGGCCCACCGCCTGCCTCGCCCCGCGGTGGCCAGACCCTCTCTTCCACCCTTTGTTTGTGCAATCGCGCTTGTTACGCCGGATCGCACACCGATTCATTATCTTTTGTCCGTCCCGCCGCCCGCCGCGCGGCCAGACTCCACATCACCTCAATGTAAACGAACATTGATTGGAAGGCGAAACACAGTCCGACCAACGACTGGGACACCTCCAACGCGGTATGGGTGGACGCAGGACGGGCGATGACGGTCACACAGGAGCGACACACAGAACCACAAGACAAGACACTCAGCCAACGGGGCGGCTGCCACACATCCTGAGCGAACTTCCCTAGTCACCCGCGGCCGGACTCCATCCGGCACGCGTCGCTGGGCGCTCAGAGCTGCGTCCCCTGCTCGCCACCCCAACGCCCAAGGCGCCCGAGTGAACGACAGGCGGCACGCGAAGACTGGTTGCAATCCGGCCGACCGCCAGGCCGCGGGATGATGCGTGCGTGGTCTTGTAGTGGCTCTCGGAAGCTCTCCTCTCGGGCTAGGAGCCAGCCCCTCTCCCTTGCCCCCGGAACACTGTGTCCGAGTCGAGGCGTGTGCTTGCCGGTCGACGGCCGCGCGCGGTTGGCATTGTGACGAAGGTTGCGCGCGGCCGCGGCGGACTGTGACTGGGCGGTGTACGTGGCTGGGTTCACAGCGATTGTAGGAAAAATGGGGGGACCAACTCACGGTCGCGGCCTTCCGACTCGCGCCTCCGCCTCACTGGCACTATTGCAGCCCTGGCCGGTGCGCGTGCAGAGTTGAAGTTCCCGAGTAAAAATTCGAACGCGTTCTCTCCCGGTGACCAAAAAATGTCCACCTCAGAGGCACCTCCGGAGGCAGGCCGCCGCACGCCGGCGACACAGCTCCAGCTATCGAACTGACCCTCAGCTCCTCTCAGAGCGGGAACTGTGACGAAAGTTGACTGAGTCGGTTGTCAGGAATAATCATACGGATCACATGGTGGCTCTTTCATGACGGGAGACGCCCGACCACTCCTGGGTGGCACTGCCACCGGTGTCGCTCGACGTCCTGTCGACAGCGTGCCGACAGCGACACAGACCATGTGGGACGCGTCGAGTATCGACCTCTACTGCTTACCCAGCCTTCGAGTGTATCCTGGCTGTGGTCCCACACCCACTGGTGTCCATCTCAGAGACCGCAGGAGGTCATGAGGGTCGATGGGAGTGCCAACCCCACAATGCCTATAAAAACCCAGCCCAGTAACACCGGCATGTGTCTTTTGTTGTGTGACGAGAGGGGACTTTAGCAACCCATCAAACAAATCAAACACAGTTGACAATTTTGCTTTTTGGCACTCGCGCGCTTGCTTTTTTATATACACTCTCCAAGGCGCTGCAATTTTGGGGGCCTCTAACCCTGTTCACGCGCGCAAGAGGGAAGAGCGCCGAGGTACGGAAATGGAAGCCAGGTGAGTCCGTGAGAGCAAATGGCGTCACGCTCACGCCTCACCGTGGTGGTTCACGCCTCGGAGTGACGCACAACAGATCTAGAGATAGAGACGAGAAAATGCATCCTCTGACCTCTCACATTACGCACAAACCGGTCGCGCGTTCTCGACACAGCACACACACGTATCATGTGCCATTGTACACAAGTGTGCAAGCCCCCCCCACCCACCCACCCACCCACGAAAAACGTACCAGTACACGCTCCCTCTTGCTGGACCGGGCACACACAGTCCGAGGCGCGAGGGCAAGCGTCGTCTACATCTTGAGGCACACTCGAAGGCGCGTCGCGTAACTGCGTGCGCACCCCGTAGGAGACGCGGTAGCAGCTCTCCTAGATGCCTTTCGGCGGCGCGGGCTCACGCCTCTTGCTTTGTGATCGCGGGACGAAAGGCGGGAATGAAGGGGCAGCACATCTCGCAAAGGTCTCCGGAGCTCGACATCGGCCCCTCCGGAGGCACCTCTGGCCACGTCAGCTTGTGCGGCTTCTCGGTGACGGACTCGACGGCGTCGAGGTAGGAGCAGTTGCGGAAGATGGCGGCGAGGTTGAACGACCCCCACTTGGGGAGGCCTGAGGCGGGATACACAGGGCTCGCACGGGTAGGAGTGAGACTCTCCCCGCATCCACATCTCGCCTCTACGTCTCGAGACACATCTCGGCACATACATCTCGGCACTGCTGCTGCTGCTGCTGCTGCTGCTGCTGTTACGTCTTCGGTCCCCGCGGTAGGCCCCGCGATCTCGGCACATCTCGGCTGTATCTCGGGCGGCTGCCCCCACCGTACACCGAAGTGAACTCAGGGTCCGTGTGGCCGCCCTTGCGAGTCGAGTCCCACGCCGTCATGCCTGTGGAGCGGGAGGGGCTGGGGTGGAGGGGCGGGGGGCGGGTGGTGGGCAACCTTAAGTGAGGCGCCTCCCATCTCTCCTGGTGTACGGGTGTGGCGGCTGTCCCGAAGTCTCAAGAGTGGGGGGGGATGGGTGGCGGGGGGGAGGTGGGGGGCTAAGAGTGGTAGACTCCCGCGCCTCGCTCCGCGCGCGTGCCCGGGATGAGGTTGTCCAGGAGGACACCCGCGAGCAGCGAGACGATCATCGTGTTGCTAAAGAAGACCTGGGACACCGAGAGATGTGGCCGAGATGTCGCCGAGTTCTGGCCGAGATGGAGAGCCGAGATGGAGAGCCGAGATGGAGCCGAGATCAGCCGTGATCAAGCCGATGTGGCCGAGATGTCGCCGCCGAGCTGCCGGGCGGCCGCAGTTGCCGCCTTTGTGTTTTGGGCGTCCGAGCACGGCTCGCCCCACGGGCCGGTGTTGGCAAAGTAGCCGGCGGGCCCGCCCAGCGCGAGGCCTACAAATAACGAAACTCTGTGCTAGGAGACGGGTACGAAGGGGGCTCGGGTCCCCGCCCAGCGAAAGGCCGTTGTAGATGCAGAAGCCGAGGATGAACAGGTTGCGCGACGAGTTGAGGTCGACGTGCTGGAGCTGCGCGAGGCCGCAGGAGCAGATGAGGCCGAACAGGCACATGTAGAGACCGCCCACGAGCCAGCCAGGCATCGCGGCGAACACGGCGCCAAACTTGGGGAAGCAGCCCATGAAGATCATCGTGCACGCGCCCGCTTGCACAACGGCGCGCGAGCCAACCTTGGTGACGCCGAGCGCGCCGATGTTCTCGCCGTACGAGGTGGTGCCGTTGCCGGTGCCGATGAGGCCGCAGAGAATGAGGCCCCACCTACGCGTGCCACAGCCGCAGCTCTGCGGACAAGCTTCAGAAGACCGGCCACAGAGGGCACTGCTAGCACACGCGCCCTTCTCCTGCGAGGCCGCGCGAGATGACGGGACCCGACGGCGGCGGGGCGCCCGCGAGCTGCGCGGCGGCGTAGTAGTCTCCGATCGACTCGACCATCGAGACGAGCATGGCGGCGATCATGGGCAGGATGGCGCACTTGTCGAAGATGGGCGCGCCCCACTGACCCGGGTACGGCCACCTGAACCACTTCGAGTCCTCGATGACCTGGCTCGACGTCTTGCAGATCGCGTAGCGCCCGCCGAGGTAATCGTCGTCCATGCCGCCGGCCGCCTGCGCGATGGCACCGATACCCCACGCCACCATCACGGTCCACAGCACCGGGAAGAGCGCAAAGATCTTGATGCTCGCTCCCCCGATCTTGAGGTTGACGAAGCCGAGGAGCTGCGAGAAGACTACCATGCAGATAATGACCGCCGCGGCATATCCTTCGCAGCCGGGCACGGGCAACGGACGTTGGAAGTTCCCGTTAATGTTTGGGGCAGTATACAGCCCGAGCCCAACCATGCACACGGTCGGGGCGATCGTGAGCGGCGAGATGAAGCGCGTGAGCAGGCCGAGCACGCCCGAGTAGCCAAGAGCAACCTGGATGAAGCCGCACGTCAGGATGGCGCCTTGGATGCGGCGCATCGTCTGCTCGAACTGCTCCTCCGCGCCGATCTCTCCGGAGGCGACCATCGCCCTGACCTGGCCGATGACGGCAAAGGTGGGGCTCAAGAAGGCAAACGAGCCGCCCTGCACGATGGGCAGCCGGTCCCCGATGGTGGTCTGAAGGAGTGTGTTGCAGCCGGAAACGAAGAAGATGGTGCAGATAACCTCGGCCATCTGCGTCGGCGTGCCGCCCATCTCCGGCACGATGAGGAGGGGGATGAGGGCCGTGGCGCCGAGCATGGTGAGGTAGTGCTGCGGCGGAGGCGGGGAATGGTGAGGCGGTACCAGAGGAAGGCGGCTTGCGCGGAGCGGCGGGATACCTGGAATCCGAGGATGACGCCGAGGTAGGCGGGAGGCACGTCACTGACGGTGTACAGCATGCCGCCATTCTTTGCCTGTGAGGAGGAGCAGGAGTCGCCGCGGCTCGGATCGGCGTCAAGCGGCGGCGGCGGCGGCGGTGAGTATTGAGCATACGGCGGCCGCACTACGCGAGTGGTGCAGCGTGTGTGTGCGCACCTTCTGTTTGAATGACTTGTCCATGACTTCCATGTCAATAGCAAAGCTCGGCCCTACGAACTCAGGCGTCAAATAGCAAAGCTCGGCCCTACGAACTCAGGCGGGCTTGCAGCTGTGAATGATAGCAAAGCTCGTCCCGGCTAGGGACTTGGAGATCCAGCCGGCTCGAGGGCGACTGTTGCCGATGCGAAAGCGAGAGCCCCAGCGGCAGCCTGAAACAAAGGCCGAGCCTCCCCAGCCGGGAGAGGCGAACTTGTAGCCGCCACGCCTCGGTTCGCCGTCGAGGCGAGCGAGGGTGGAGGCGGCTGACTCTACAGTCGAGATTTGCACACCCCGTTGTATACATGTTCGCGCTGCATTTTGTGCGCGGACTTGTATCCGGCGGGCGCTTTGCACACCCCGGTTGTATACATGTTCGCGCTGCTAGTCGCAGGGCCCGCTGCTCCGACAATCGGCGCGCGCGCGGCCGCGAACGACGAGACTCCCGCTGGCGACAACCAGCGCAACGTTCTTCGCCACCAAGCCCGTTCCGGCCTCTTTGCGTCCACCCCCTCACCCGTCGGCGCTAGCATATTGGGGGGGGCAACCTCGGACACACCAGCCCCCTGCCCGGGCAGCCTGCCCGACTCGTGCCCCTCTGGCTACCAAAGTGTGGTGGCTGGGTGTTACCAGGCCCCTGCTTGCCCAGCCGGTTCAGAAGAGATCTTGACGATCTGCTACGCCAGCTGCCCAAGCGGCTACACGGTGAGCCTTGATATCTTTTGCAAGAGCATCCCGGCCCATTGGTATGATATTCCGCATTCCGTCAGCAGACCGAAAGTGCCAAAGACCAATGGCGTCGGTCTTAAAGCGTTCGAGTGCCCCCCTGGCACCCGGCTTGCGGGCGCCAAGGCCATTGGTATTAGCGTGGGCTACTGCTACCAAGACTCGTGCTTCGATCAAACCATCGGGGGTGAGGTGGTCAACGCTGTTGGAGACATCGGCTCGCTATTCACCAGCTCGTACGCCAACTACGAGAACATCGAAAAGATTGAGGAGTGCCTCAAGGCGAATATGAACAACTTTGCGGACCCCTGGCCGGGCATCGAGACGGCGGTCAAGCAGATGTTCTCAAGCACGACTGGCTTCATCAGCATCGGCTACGACGCCTTCCACTCTTTCGTCGAGCCCTCCCTGCAAACGGGGTTGCTGGACGTCGACACCTTCGTTGGCTTCCTCACATCGAGCTACAGGGTCTCAGTTACAGCCTTGGGCGCGACGGCCGGTGATAATGCCAACCTCACGTAGAAACCATCACATTCACACTAGATTCCGCCGCAATCCTTGAGGTTGTTAGTCGAATATATCCACATGGCTCAAGGGATTTTATCCCTTTTGGTTTGGAGATTCGTGTTTTGGTTTCGGGTTTTGGGTAAAACGTGTTCGTGTATACTGTACGGAACTCGCTTCAGCGCGATGCGGCCCCTTGGCTCCACTCCTATGCGGTGAGCCTCTAATCGGCCCTACGAACTCAGTCAGGCGGGCTTGCAGTTGTGAATGATAGCAAAAGTTCGGCCGCGCGTGGTAGGCCGCAAGACGACCGAAGGCCTCTGGTACCCCTGCCCTGCTGATGTGGATCAAAATCGAGCGGATCGCCGCCTTTGGTACCCCAAGGTGGGCTGCACCACGCGCTCTACGCGCTCTACCCTGGGGTGCCGGCGCATTTTGGTTGAGTCGGATGACAAGAAAGAGAAAAACTCGCGCCTGAAGGACAGACTCCATACCCCCGATACCCGCGAATGGCCGCCAGCTCCGACAACGCCGGCAACGCCAGCGCCGAAGGCCCATCTCTCCGCACAGTCGTCTGCGGCCTCTCCCTGCCGTCGTGCGTCTTCAACTCGTCAAACCCGTTCGCAACATCACTCGAGGACCTCCAGGCGCTCGACGCCTCCGCCGCCGGCGCCGTCGCCACGCGCACCGCGTGCCCCGGCTTTGTGCACGATGAGGCTACGATGAAGTGGGCCTCGCCTGACGGCGCAAACACGATCAACTGCCTCGGCTACTCGCCGCTCCCGTTCGAGTACTACACGGGCTGCCTGCCGCAGCTCTCCGGCGCCAAGCCCTGCTGGCTCTCCATCTCTGGCAGCGCGGAGGAGGTTGGTGCGATGGTGCGCGAGGCTGCAGCGCTGGCACCGTCCCTGCCAGGCGGCCTCGCGGTGGAGATCAACCTCTCGTGCCCAAACATCGCCGGCAAGCCTCCCCTCGCGTACGACTTTGACGCGCTGCGAAACTACCTCGGCACCGTCTTTGCTGCCGGGCCGCCGCCGCCGACCCTCGCGGTCGGCGTCAAGATGATGCCGAGTTCTTATTAGTAGTAGCATCATCATCACCATCTTCTTCTTCTTCTAGGTCGGCGTCAAGACGACGCCCTATTTCTACGACGCGCAGTACACCGGCGCCGCCGCCGTGCTGAACGGCTGCCCGCACCTGTCCTTTGTCACCGCCATCAACACGGTCGGCAACGGCCTCTACGTCGACGTCGCCACAGAGGCGCCCCTCCTCGCTCCCAGCTGCTACGGCGGGCTGGGCGGCGCCGCGGTGCACGCCGTCGCCCTCGGCAACTCACACCATGAGCTATCAACACCATTAGCTATCATGACTCATAACAGGTGCACGCCATCGCCCTCGGCAACTCACACCATGAGCTATCAACACCATTAGCTATCATGACTCATAACAGGTGCACGCCATCGCTCTCGGCAACGTGCGGAGGCTGCGTGCGCTGCTGCGGCCGTCGATCGCCGTCATCGGCTGCGGAGGAGTCGACTCTGGGGAGGCTGCCCTGCCCCTAGAAGCGGAAGACGTACGCGCACTCTTGTGTGTGGGGAGAGGTATCCCCTTACCTTACCTCAGGCTGCCTTCCGCCACCTGCTCTGCGGCGCCTCGGCGGTGATGGTCGCCTCGGCGCTCCTGCACGAGGGCGTGGGCGTCTTCGCGAGGGTCGAGGCAGAGCTGCGCGGCATCATGGCCTCCAAGGGCTACTCCGCCGTCGCAGACTTCCAAGGCGATCTGGGGAGATCTGGGGAGATCTGGGGAGATCTGGGGAGACTCCACCACGCCTCCGCATGCCCCGCCCCTCCTCACGCCCCGCGCCTCTCTCTGTATGCGCCCGCGAGGGTGCCTCCCTATCCCATCTCCCCATCTCTCCCCAGCTCTCCCCAGCTCTCCTCATAGGCAAGCTGAGGGAGCCAGCCGCACCGCAGCAGCGCGCCGCCGCCCCGTGCGCCGGCCTCGCGCCCCCTGCCACCAACGGCCGCAGCAGCGGCGGCGGCGGCGGCGGCGGCGGTGGCGGCGGCGGCAGCGGCGGCGGCGGCGGCGGCGGCGGCAGCGGCAGCGGCGCCAACGGCCGCGCGTTCGTCGCGCCGGAACACATTCGAGCTGCCAACGGCGCCGCGGCCGACAAGTTCGCCTCTTTCGCCCAAGTGCCTGTGGTGGACTTTGGCGCCTTCTACTCTGACGACGCGGCGGGACGGGCGACGCTGGCGGCGCAGCTCTTCTCCGCCTTCAAGGAGATCGGCTGATCTCGGCTGATCTCGGCTGATCCTCGGCTGATCCTCGGCTGATCCTCGGCTGATCGCGGCTGATCTCGGCTGATCTCGGCTGATCTCCGCCCCCAAGGACATCGGCTTCGCCACACTGATCAACCACAACCTCCCTCCGGAGCTCAACGCTCGCGCGTTCGCGCTGTCCGAGGCTTTCTTTGCTCTGCCGGCCGCGCAGAAGGCTGCGTACGGGTGGGAGAGCCCCGAGTCGAATCGAGGCTACCTCGCGCTGGGCAAGGAGCGCCTCGACGGCGGGCTAATCTCGGCGAATCTCGGGCCATCTCGCCTGAGCTGCGCCAATCCTGC